CCACCACACCCGGCTAAATTCAGGGGTTTGAATGATGTTCTCAAGAATCCATTTCTTTCCAGCTCTGTACTCTGCTGGCCTCTTGAGTGGCCTCCTCCTTGGGTAGGTCCTGCTCCCACCCACACCCATACCCACGCTTTCGGGGCCGTGATGTGGGGTCTTTCAAAGCAGGAGTTCTATAGTCAGCCAGTCTTTCTGGTGGTGAGGAAAACGGAGCACTCTGATTGGCTTATTTGGGTCATGTGGTCCTGCTGTCCATGTCAACTCCTGTAGCACTCATTTCTATACAAGGGGAGGCAGGGGTTGCTGAGGGATTTGCATCCCTCTCAGCCTAAATTATACCCCAAGGTCTTTCTCCTCTGGGGAGCAACAGGACCTCTGCCCAGAATGCTGACCATAAGCCAGGCGTGGCAGCACACGCCTGTAATCCCAGCATTCAGGAGGCTGAGGCAGGAGGATCGTTGTGAGTTTGAGGCCAGCCTGGGCTACAGTGAGCTCAAGGCCAGATTGAGCTGCATAGCGAGACCCTGTCTCAAAAAGACAAAAAACAAAAACCAAAAAATCCAAAATGCTGACCACCACTGCTCAGACAGTGCTTGCCAGGTGTCGGGGACTGCTGTCGGGGATAGGTTGTGTTAGTGTGAATGAGGCTGTGGTAGTTACCCAGGGCTATCCAGTTGGCTGCCCTGGGGTCCCAGACCCTCCTCGCCCCCACACTGCGCTGCTTCCTGCTTGCCACATTTATAACGTAATGGAGGAGCTGGGCCGACGGACATGTCGGGTGGGGAGGGAGATTATGCATGGAGCTCGGAGAGCTCCGCGGGGATGGAAGAGGGGCAAAAACTTCACCACAGTGGCCTGGCCTGGAGCTTCTCTGCTTGTTTTCCAGGGTCGGTGCCAGCACAGCCGTGTCCTCAGGGCCCTTCCGACTGCAGGAAGAAGCAGTGTGAGCCTGAGCACTACATAGACGAGAGCGGATACTGCACGGCCTGCGTGAGCTGTTTCAGAGGTCAGGAGCCGGGTCTCTCTCAACAGCGCCTCTTCAGGAGCACAAAGCAGCCTCAGAGGAGATGATGGGAGGTGGGGAGGAGGCGCGAGGTGGGGAGCTTTGGGATTTGGTGCTTGAGCTCTGAATTGGCCCCCTGGCATTTCAACTTACCTCTCTGGATTCCTGAATTGATATCAGCTGTGTTTTTTTTTGAGGGTCTTTTTTTTTTTTTTTTTTGGTTTTTCAACGGTACCGGGAACCGAACTCACGACCTTGCGCTTGCCAGGCTGGCGCTTTGCCGCTGAGCTAAATCCCCAGCCCCTTTTGAGGGTCTTTTTAAAACGAAGTTTCACCATGTAGTTCAGGCTGACCTTGAACTCACTCTGTAGCCCAGGCCGGCTTTAAACTCACAATGATCTTCCTGCCTCAGCCTCCCGAGTGTTGGGATTACAGGCCTGCGCCACCATGCCCAGCAGCAGCGACCGTTTGCATGCATACTTTTCAGGGAGACTTGGCATGTTCCCTGAAAGGGAAGACTCACACGCACAGAGTTTAATCTTCACGGAAGCCTTAGGGAGAATGCTTTTCCCTTTCCTGCTTTTTAGTGAAGGGACTGAGGATTACTGAGGTGAAGGGGTTTTTCCAGAGTTGCAAAACTGGGTAGACGTTAGAGTTCGGGTCTGAGCTGATGGCTGGGCACCCAGACTGAGTCCTTTCCTAAGACCTTGGTGCTTCCATGAAAACTCAGTAAGCACTTTACAATGGTCTGGTGTTTAGTTTGTGTGTGTGTGTGTGTGTGTGTGTGTGTGTATGTGTGTGTGTGAGAGAGAGAAATGGGAAAATTTTTTTTTGTCTTTTTGAGACAGGATCTCTCTATGCAATTCAGGCTGGATTTGAGCTCATCTTGTAGCCCAGGCTGGGATCGAACTTGCAATGATCCTCCTGCCTCAGCTTCCC